TGCATTGAGTCTCTTCTGTCCTAGGTCATAGAACTCTGTGGATGAAGGATAGGGCCTTGCTGCCAAACCTGCACGAGACTTAGKAGRACTAATCTCTACTCTGGTATCTGGAGACCTGGGCATSAGCGGCGAGCGCTCGTTAAACAACTCGTCTAGCCCAATGACYGGTACTGACCGGCAGGTCTGCTCAGTTTCAGTGYAGAGGGTCCGAACTTTGAGCTGCAGGCTGAAACGGAGGCCGTCTTTAAGTGTTGAGGGCSTGTTGGAACCACTCCCCTACCAGACCAAGTAAGGCTGATGATCTGTGTCTGACGACTCGACTGTCCCGGGGGATACGAACCCTCCCAAGGACCGGTACAGACCGGCGGGCTGCTCGGTGTGGCACAGTAGGCCGGAAAGGCTGAGTTGTGGGCTGAAAGCACAGGCAGAACCAAACTGATCACATCGTCCTGTCTGTGACGTTAAAGAATTCTTGAGGAGTTACGGGGGATCTCCTTAAATGCCTCCTGATCAGCCACTGGTTCAGTAGTGACAACCATAGTGCAGGTCTAGGCTAGAGACCATAGTTGACAGGATCCCTGTCAGGATTCTGTAAGTCTTAGATTAGGTATATACGTTTGTCAGTTAGGGGTTAGAGTCTACATGGTGAGGAGTGAAATCATCCTGATTGTGCACCTATCACCATGGTTGAGACCCGTACTGGGTTAGAGACTAATCCCTATAGTCAGGAGCAGCAAGAAAAGATGGCTGCCTTAGTCAGAGAGAGTAGGGAGAGGAAAGAGCGTGAGAAGCAAGCGAAGCTAAAGGCTATCGCAGATGAACAAGCGTCGAAAATAAAGAGATTGGAGGAGGAGATGAAGAAAGTACAACAAGAGGAGGAAGAAAGAAGAAAAGTTGCTGAAGCAGAAGCGGCAGCAGAAGAAGAGAAAGAGAGGATGAGGATTGAGAGTGGAGAAGGGAGTAGTGGTGGCACGATGACAAGGGAAACAGATACAGGGCTAGAGAAGAAGATCAGTGAGTGGGTCGCTAATTTATCGTTGGGGGAAGACGAGGAGGCGGAGTCCTATGTAACTAAGGATGAGAAGGCTGCGCTGGCCGCCGAGCTAGCAGCCATGACAGACCCGATGGAACGAAGAGAGAGGGAGGAGGAACAAAAATTAGCATGGAAGCTGAGGATGAAGAGAGAGAAGAAGAAGAGGAGGGAGGAAGTGAACAAGATGACCGCAGAGGTGACAAAGGTGCAGGAGTGTAGAGGGGAGGTGCTGGCCCAACCAGACGATAAGGCCAAGTGGGACAAAGTACTGGGGTATCTGGAGGTGTTGAGCAAGGCCTGGATGGAGGAGCGCCAGGCAAGCTGGAGCCAGGATGTAGTGTTGAGTGCCATGCAGTCAGGGTTTAGAGATTTCGCGCGCGAGTTCGTCACCCATATTGGAGGCGAAGTGAAGCAATTGAGAGATAATGTAGGGAAGTTTTGTGAGGGCGCCATTCAGGGTGCCAAAGCTGTAGCCGCTGTAGAGGGAGAGGCCAGACCCCGTAAGGAYCCAGTGAAACTCAAGTTCCCAGATGCGTACGGGGGGAAGAAGGAAGARAACTTTGACAACTGGGAAGCCAATGTCAATAGTTATATTTATTTGCAGCATATC